TCTGAATAGGGCTCCTGAATCTCTTGGAATTTTCTGGGTGATAGCTACATCTTTTGTTCTAATGAGATGGCTCCTGGATGGTGGCTGGTCACCAGAAAGTCCAAGCCATGATTAGAAGCTTGGAAACTTTAACCCTATTGTGCATCCACTGGGAAGAGGAGAAGGGCTAGAGATTGTGTTAATCACCAATCATGCGTTTGTGATGAAGCCTCCATAAAAATCCTGGAATCGTGGGGTTCAGAGAGCTTCTGAGTTGCTGAACATGTGGAGATGCTGGGAGGGTGGCTTGCCCCAGTGGCAGCATGGAAGTTCTGCCCCCCATCCCCCATACTTTGCCCTATGTATCTCTTCCATCTGGCTGTTTATCTGTGTCCTTTGTAATATTCTTTATAATAAACCAGTTAATATAGGTAAAGTTCTGTCAGCTGTCCTAGCAAATTTTAAAACCCAAGGAGGGGGTTATGGAAACCCTGATTTATAGTCCATGGCTCAGAAGCACTAGTGACAACTTAGGACTTGTGACTGGCATCTGAAGTGGAGGGCAGTCATGTGGGACTGAGTCCTTAACCTGTGGAGTCTATGCTAACTCCAGCCATATGTGCAAGAATTGAGTTCAATTGTAGGACACCCAATTGTAGGACACCCAACTGGTGTTGCAGAATTGCTTGGTGTAGGGAAAAACCCACACATCTGGTCACAGAAGTGTTCTGTGATGAGTGTGATGTCAGAAGTGTGGTTTAGAGGTTTAAAACCTGGACTCAAGTCAGGTAGGTTGGAATTATAACTCTTCCACTTACCTACTAAATGACATCAGGGAAATTGTTTAATTTGGAAGCATCTTTTTCTTCAGCTGTCAAGTGATGTAATAAAACTTACCTCTCACTCTCAAAACTGTGAGAGTTAAATTAGTGATATAAAAGTAATTAGTGAAGTGCCTGGCACATGACAATTTAAAACAAACTATAAGCTTATTTTACTTATAATGCACATTTACTATTGTACTTTGCTGTGAGGAAATTGTGCAAAAAGCATTTTTTTTTTGTCTTTTTTCGTGTCCGGCAANGGAAGAATATTGAGTATGTCTATTAATCAGCTCTGCCATGAGAAGCCCCATTTATATTGCTCTTGGTATGTGGGATGAAATGTTTTGACTTATGGAGTGAAGTAATCCATAGAACGAACAGAAGGAAATTACAAAGTGGATTCAGAATGAATATTAGCTTCCACACAGGGCTGACAGAAAGCACAGTGTTTCCTTCCTTTTTTCTCTCTCTTTCCCCCTTTCTCCCTCCTTCCTTCCTTTCTTCCTTCCGTCTTTATTTTTATTCACTTCCATAATTAGTCAAACAAGCATTTTATCAAGTGATGTAATTGGTTANTATTTTTATTCACTTCCATAATTAGTCAAACAAGCATTTTATCAAGTGATGTAATTGGTTATCTCTAAAAACCAGGTGGTTGTTAAATAGAGGGTAATGACAGATTGTATTAGCTACAGTAAATAGTTAAAACTAATAGTGACTACTAATATTACCAAATAATTTTTGAATTGTGGTAACATAAGTGCAATTTGTTAAGAGACGCAAATAAGACCCCTTTTATTGCTTTTCTTTGTGTGATATTGTAATTTATAATAAGAAATATATATTTTGGTCTTTGTATCTGGTTTCTGGCACAGAACTGCTAAAATCCTTGTAATTTCCTGAGCAATAGCGGTGCTAGGAGAATCTTTTGCTCCAATATTTGGTCTTTGACTCTGAATAGGGCTCCTGAATCTCTTGGAATTTTCTGGGTGATAGCTACATCTTTTGTTCTA